TATAGATTTTCAAGACTAGCATATACTTCTTCATTATACCAATCCTTGAAATCTGCCATTCTTTCATTATAAGTTTCTTCATTTGGGCTACATTGTTTTATAACATATCTAATATAATCTTCTAGATCTTTTTTTTGTTGTAAAGTTTTAAGATAGTTTATATATAATGCTCCTAATTTGTCATATTTTTTGGTACCTTGACTATATGCTATTTTAATCGCTTCAACTAAAGCGAATTCGATATTTTTGTGGTCTACCATTTTGAATATTGTACTTTTTATTATATATTACTTAATCAGGTTTTTTGTTTAAATAAAAAATATCTCTTTTATCCATGTCTAGAAAATATATCTGTTATTATATACACAATTCTGGAAAAGTCTGTGAACGTGGATGTCGATGTCCTGAAGGATATTATAAACATTGAAGGTCTAAAAAATGTGTTCCCTGTAAAGAATATAGTAGTTGTAAAAAATTTACTTCTGCTAAATCTGGAACATGTAAAGATCATACTGGGGACTTTTATGTTAAGCAGTTTTATGCTCGCCAACTTGGCAAGAATACTACTTCTTCACCTGCTATGAATAAAAAAAGCATATAAAAGTATATCAAAAATGATAATACAAAAAAAAAATTTCTATACATTAAATCATATCAGATGCTTTATTTTTTCGTTATCAGTTTCAGCTTTCTACTATTTTAAAATTTATAAGAAAGACAGTGTAATTTATAGCGATTAATAAAAGATTAAAGCCTCTCTAGATATACAATTATTTTACTAGTTAAATTCCCATTAAAAAAACTCAAAACTATTGAGGATCCCAAACAACTGAATTTGATGATTTATAAAAAATTAAAGATATTCTAGCTATGTGTAAAATTACATCGAATTCTGAATATTAAATTTTTTTTATATCATTTTAAGAGTGCTAAAGCTGTAAAATTAATAAGAAAGCCACTAAATAAGAAAGCTTTCAATCCAATTCCTTAATTAGTTTTTTTCATATGTTCTCAGGAAAGGCCTAAAAAAGTCAGAAAAGCGTAAAACCCAAAGGTGTAAAAGTGAGGAACGCATTATAGAAAAGTCTGCTCATCCTCCCTGCTGCTTATTAATTAATAAAATTTTTACTATGTTAAAAGCTACTTTGGATTACTGATTTTTAACCAAAGGCTAAAAATTAAAAATTTGTTTTATTTGTAGTAGTAATCTTATTTTACTTTAATTTCCTTAGACAAAAATAATCTTTAGATTTTAATTTAAAGAAAGAAAGAAAAAAAAAATTCTAAATAGATTCTAAATATATATATCAAGGATTTCTGTAAATCTGAAAAACAGATTAATTTATAATCAAGATACTTTATGCTAATCTTATAGAAGGTACCAAAATTCTGTTACAGTTTGTACAAAACAATGTGAAAAATTAAACCAATCAATCTTAATAAATTTAAGTTAATCATATGATAATTTAATGTATTACTAATACATTTTCTCTTGTATGTAATATTTTAAAATATAGCAAGACAGACAATCAGTTGATCTAAATCTGCTTACTAATACTTAAACAATATAATTACGTGTAATATCTGAAAGTACGATGAACAAGTGAAGTAAAAATATCTTTACTATATACTTCATATATTACTAAATTTAACAGACTTTTGAAGTAACTTGCTAAGAGATATAGAAAAGTTTATTAAAATATTTATTAAAATTTATCAAAAAAATAAATCAATAGAGATATATTACTACATTGATATTATTATTAGTCAATTTTTTGAACTAATTTTATTTTTCAAAAGACAATTTACAACTAGCAACTAGTAAACAGTTATTTTAGTTTACGAATTAAAGGAGATAATTTTAAAAGAATTAAAAATATTTTTAATTAAATACTAAAATTAATCAAAGGACTTAAGAATTTATAATCATGGGAATTAAATTATTGATTAACAGTTAAATTTTAAAGGTTAATATAAGAAATTAAGGCAAAGAGTTAAATATAGACAAAGAGTTAAATATATTTATCAATGGTTTATAAAATAATAACAGGATTTTATAGATTAGAATTTATATTTGAAGAATATAAATCAATAGAAAAGTAACAGAGTTTGAATATAAAAGATATAAGTTTATTATGAAAAAAATTAATAATCCAGTTACTTTAGGATTATAAAAATATTAATTCAATTATAGAATTAATTTACAGTTATTACTTTCTAAATTTCACTATTTAGAACTATTCGAATCTAACTTGAGGTGGAGAGAAAAACTCACTCTTTTCATAATATTTGATTTGGCCAGTAAGTTAATTAATAAGTTGGTTAAAATCTTGACCAGGTCAGTAAATTGGACCACTATAATTTATATTATTGATTTACATAATTTGTATTACACTAATAAATAAATACTAATTATAACTAATAATAAAATATACTAAATAATTATACTAATAAAATAAATAACAAATAATAAAACAAATAATAAGAAAAATTATGAGAGTGGAAACTCATAGTAACAGCATATCTTATCTCTATTGCTATTCCAATACACGAAATTATTTATTACTATTAAAAATTAAAACTATTACAAAAATTATTTATTATTATTAAGATTATTTCAAAACTATTTGTATTTGTTATTACTAAAATTATTTGAGAAATTATTTATTATAAAAACATAAGAAAAGTAATTACAAAATTATTTGTTATTAAAATTATTAAAAAAAAAATTTGTTGTCAAGGTAAAATATTATATGAATATTAAAAGTTTCGCGAGAGGGGAATCTCTTTTTCTTTCTTTCCAGCCGCAGCTATTTTATAGTTTTTCTTTTTGTTTACCTTCATCCATAAAAACGTTTTCGTACCAGGATGAATAAACAGTTATCCTGGACACACAAGGATAATTCATCCAAATAGTGACACCTATTATCCTCTATCATCCCCCGTGACCCCGGCTATTTTCGTGCCGCCTCAATATTATTGATTATCTACTGATGAAAAACAATCATTTATTTTTTTGATGACTAATGTGGAAAATGTTCATTTAAACATCAGATGATTTTTAGCATTGCATATATTTTAGGGTCACGCGCGTCGGTAATGTCGATGATATAAGTGACGTTATTATGTGATTTATAGCCCACGATCGACGTGAGCGATATTTACATATATGCCACATATGACACATGCATTCCACGTGGGCTTTCATTTACAAAAATTTATAATATTTAAAAGTCAGAATAGTCTAGAATTAGACTGCTGACCACTTGTTTTTTTTTCTTAAAAAAAAAGATAATTTTTGATAGTGTATAACTAATTTTTTTTTTTTAATAAATATCGAAAATTTTCAAATGCATTATTAAATAATAATTCATTTACGAGACGGAGATATTTTCTTCGTTGTAAGTTTTTTTTTTGGCACGATTTTTTTTATATGAAAAAACTACTGTATAATTATGTTTCAATTTAAGTTCTTTCGTGGGAAAGCTTCTAAAGATGAAGAAAAACATACTCAAGCTTTATTGGAAACTGACCCGTACGTATTTTAATAATAATTAATGTGATAACATTATATAATTAAATTATTATCAATTATTAATATTATATTATAATTATAATTATCATTATTGTTATTTAAATTATGAAAAAATTTATTTATATTAATTTTAATTCAATTTAATTCAATTAGTTGGTCACCTCCACCATTTAATACAAATCAAATACGCGTAATTATTTGTCAAGATACGGGGGATAAAGCAAAACTTACCATATTTGATTCAGAGAATTGTTTAGATTATTCTTCTTCTTCTTCCGGAAATAATAAAAATGATAATCAAAAGCATTCGAATTTTTCAAATATTAATACTGAACTTTCTTCTCATTCCTGTTCTTCTTCGACAATTACTTCAATTTCTTCTTCAATTTCTTCATGGAGTGGAATTGGATCTTTTTTACCAAAGAGTAATAATAACAATAATAACAATAATAACAATAATAACAATAATAACAATAACAATAATAATAATAGTAGTAGCAATAATAATAGTAGAGGTAGTAATGCTATAAATATTAAATCTACAAATACTATTCAAACTCAAAGTCCTTATTCGCATCATTATAATCAGAATAAATGCTCAGGAAATGAGGATAAACGAAAAAGTTCTGATTATGTAAATAAATCTAGTAGCAACACACTTCCACCATCATTTAATACATTTAATCGTAATAGTATGGGACATCAAAGAAAGGTTAGTAAAATTAATTAATTAAAAAATTAATTAAATTAATTTCAAAAAATCATTAATCAAAGTTACTTTGTTAATTAATTAATTTATAGGTATCACATAATATAGATTTGATAGGAGAAATGATGTTCGGAGCAGTTCCATTGGCATATAAAGGAATTACAACCAAGATTCATTATATAAAATCACCTAAATCTCAAGTATTATTAACGAAATTATTTTCAATAAATCCATCTGATTTGGATCATCATCATCATCATCATCATCATCATCATAATCATCATAATAATAATATTAGTAATAGTTTTAATAGTAATTCGCCGGGAAGAAGAAGTTCATTTTCTTCTACCAATAGTGATGCTTCTATATCATCAAATACTATTATTAATAGTAATACGGTGGGAGGAAGTTATGAACTTTCAACACGTAGAATTTTTTATGATGATTGTTCGGAATCAAGTGATGATGAATCTTTTCGTAATGTACCTTCATCATATATTTCACCTTCTCCATCATCAATATTAAGTGGTCCACCAATTCTGGGGTTAAGAACTTCTTCTTCTTGTAATAATATTAATACCACGAATAACAATATAACAAACAACAACAATAATAATATTATTTCAGCTGCTTCCGCTAGTACTTCACTATCATCATCATATTCTTATTCTACCAGTCCAAGAAATACATTTAATACTAGAAGAATACGAAGATTTAGTCAGACAAGTATGGAAAATGGGATTTTTAATCCAACCCCGTTACCCGGAACATCGAATTATAATATGAATAATTATAGTTATGATAATAATAATCATAACAATAATGTGAATGTGAATAATGTAAGAATCTTTTTTTTTTTAATTAACATTATTTAAAAATTATTCAAAAATCAATTAACATTTATTCAAACATTTATTCAAACATTATTCAAAACGTTATTCAACATTAATTTTGTTAGATCAGCATAAAACTACCAGCACGTTCTTTGATGTATTCTGTTGGAGTAGTTATATCATTAGAAGATAATCAATTATTGGAAGAATTTATCTTTTCACATTTCGCGTTGTTAGAAAACAAATTACATCAACTTCAATCATATGCGTTCCGGATATTATCTCATTTACTTAAAAAATCATCATCTCCATCATCTATTAATGGACCTAATTCTGTATATTTATTGTTTATTATATTTTATTATTTATAATTAATAATTTTTTTATAATTTATTTAATTTATTTATAATTTATTCATAATTTATTTTAATTTATTTATAATTATTTATATAATTTATTATTTAGATATTTTGTCAACCGAGTCGACAAAAAATTTCAATTTCTCCATTAGTAGCACTTATGATACAACATGAACCATTATGGTTAGAAGCAGTGAAACGATTCAAGAATTCTATATATCAATTATATAGTACACCACGGATACAGGTATTTAGTGATTATATAAGCAAAACTATATATATATTTATATTTCTTTTTTTTTTTAATATAATGGAAAAGTTGTTGAAAATTTTTTCATTCGAAATATACATTAATTCATTAAATATTTAATATTACATTACGAAAAAAAATGTTATATAAAAAAAAAAATTCAAATATACATATGATATATTTATGAGCGAATATATATGTATTTTTTTTTAATAATTAAAAAAAAAAAAAAGGTGGCAACTAATTCCTAATAATAATAATATATCAATTACCCTACTAAAATTTGTCCAAGGAGCCTCTATGGTTGAACATTTCGACATTTCCACAAAAAAGAAATTTACTCGCTAAATGCTTATTGGATGAATTATCTTACTTATTAGAAAAGTTTGATGAGAAAAGGACAAATTAGTATGTTTGATTAATTGTTTATTATTTATTTATTTATTAATTATAATTATTTATTAATTATTTTATTAATTATTTATTATCAATTATAATTATTTTTAATTATTTATTAATTATTTATTAATTTTATTTGATGCGTTTATTTAGTTTTATTTCCACATTAGTAACTAGTGTATTAATGCACCATTTATCATGGGTTCCGACAGTTGCTCCTACGGCTGATTTTGAAGAAGGGGTAATTTTTTTAAAAAATAATTATAAAATTATCGTTATTTTTCTTTGTACCGATATTTTATATATTTACATATTTATTTATTCATATTTACAGATACGAAAAAATTTGTTTTATGATCCATTGTGGGCTCAATTAGGGTAAAATAACCTTCAAAAAAAATAATAATAATAATACAACATAATTTATTATATTAATTCTTTTTTGTATATAATTTAAATTTCTAGTGATTTATATGGTAGTATAGGAACTCCTTCAACAATGAGTAGAACTATAATTGTGGGAAATGATGATGCAAAAAATGCTGTTCGACGAATTTTATTCGTATTAAGTTATTTTATACGATGTAATGAAGTATATGAAAATGTTGAGAATATGATCCCATTAGATGGACGTAATATTGGATCATCTTCATCTTCATCTTCATCTTCATCATCTTCAATATCTTCATCTTCAACAATATCTTCATCTACAACATTATCTTCATCTCCTTCTCCTACTCTTCCTACGGCTTCTATTGATAAAATGGAAAATTCCAATATCACTCCTTCAAGAGATAATTCCCAAATTGTTGATAAGGGTATTTTCAAATAAAAAATATATCTTATAACTTATTTGTTATATTTTATTATTTTTTTTTTTACATTTTACATTTCATACTCTATATTGCATTTTATTTAGAAAATTCTTTGATGAAAGAATCAAATATTGAAAAAACTAAAGAAAATGGGGAAAATATTAAGAATAGTGAAAATAGTAATAAAATTGAGGGTAGAAATCATGCTAATCATTCTGGTAATGTGGCAAAAGAAGAAAAGGATGAAAAGGAAGGAAAGGAAGAAAAAGAAGAAAAGATAGGAATCACCACAAATAATACCACTCACTTTAGGAAACGACAATCAAATAATAATAATAATAACAACAGAAGAAATAGTTTAATAATAGATTCAAATTTTACAAATTTTTCTCTTGATAAATTTTTAGATGTTTCAATGCCAAAGTAAAAAATTATAAAATTTTATTTATTTATTTATTTATTTATTTATTCATTTATTCATTTATTTATTTGATATTTATTCTTAATTTTCAAAATAGAACACAATCTTCAATTACAATACCTGATCCATTATTGGACGATAATAGTAATAATAATGATAATAATAATTACAACACCAAAAATAAAGAAAATGGGAAAACCTCTGATCAATTATTTGCAAAATCATATGGAAGATCTTTAATGGTTGGATGCTGTGATACTTACATGTCGGATTTTGTATTAATGGGTCTTCCCAAATATGATTTTCAAGAGTCGTTAGAAGCTGATCTCAAAGAATCTCTAAAGGTAAAAAGTTATTATAAAATAATTTATTACAAATTATGAATTAATATCTTTAATTTATAATTTTTAATATCTATAATTTTTAATTTATAATTTTTATAATTTTTAATTTTTATAATTTTTGATTTTATAATTTTTTAATTTGTAGATGCAACCATTTTCACTCCAGGATCCAGTATCAAGATCAGTTTGTATTTTAGGACAAATAAATTCTTCGTAAATATTTAAATTTCTATTCTTTCGATATCTTTCTATTTCTCTATAAATATTTATTAACATTACAATTATTATTATTATTATTATTATTACTCTTCCACGTTTATATATACATATACAGTAATTGTTCAGTTTCAGTTTTAGGTTATGATGCATATGGCAATAATAATGGCAAAAATTCTCCAGCTAGTATTCAGGGAGATCATATTAGAAATGGGGATGGATATGTTATTCCATTACAAACTTCTAATTATATATTTAATATGTTACATCAATGTATAGAGTTATATACGAAAATGGGATTACCTGCTGAATCTGTACGTATTATTATTATTATTATTTATCTCTATTCATTAAATATCATTATCATCATTAATATATTGTTTTTTCTTATATAATAACAACAGTGTATAGAGTATATGGAAGATCAATTAAGAATATTATATTATAAAGCAGTTATGCATAAAAAATTATTAAACACTACCATTGCAACCACTACCACAAATCCCACATCAGGTGTTGGTAGTATCTCAATATCTTCTCCTTTAATGTTCTCTAAAGTTGCTGATGATATTGTACCTATTAATATATTAGAAACTTTATCATTACAGCAATCTGATTTACAATTGATACATGCTATTAGTTCTACCTTTTAAATATTTTAAATAGATTTTTTTCTTTATATATAAAATGTATTTTTATATATACGTGTATTTTTTTTTGGAATTATTTATTTATTCATTTCCTATTCATTTTTATTTATTTTCTTTTTTTATTCATTTAAACTCATTAAATTCCTTAAATTCCTTAAAATTTAAAGTAAATTATTTTATTTTAAGATTTATTTAAGATTTTGTTCAATAGTTATTATTATTACGGTATTTTCTTTGATATTTTCTAGAGAAAGGGTATTATTATGTGTTTTATATACATATTATAATAAAGATTTCGGTTTTTATAAAGATAATTTTTTATTATTTATTTATTTTTTTTTTTTGCGGAACTTCTATAATCAAAAATCAAATTAGTATTTTCAGGTTCCAGACATTATATTGATATTATAAAATTTCCCGAAGTTATATAATCACGTGTATTTTTGAATTCACTCGCAATTTACATAACATAAAGCGCATAGGCAAACTTGATAAGTCGTCCACTGATAGCTGAGCTCTTGTGGCTGAGTTATCGAGGTGACCGTGTTATCAAAATTCTTGATAAGTCGGCCGGCCAAGTTATCAAGATTTACTACATCAGGAATTATGTAAAGGCGTTCTAGAGCGCAATAAGTACATTGGTCCCGTTTTATTACGTATTTCGAACGTTACGTTCTACAACGTTACATTCTAGAACAATCCATTCTACAACGTAATAACTCCACGAATTTCGATGCTATCGGAATGAAACACATATCATTTTGTAGCTAAGAACAAGGCCTTTCTTTTTACCTTATAAATACCTTAGTAGAAAATCGTTCTACTCTTTATAAATCGCGAGCGAAGTTGAAAAAAAGTGAAAATATGCTGAAATTTTTACGTTTTTCGAATTCGATCGCGATTTATAAAGAGTAGAGCGATTTTTTATTAAGTTATTTCTAAGATAAAAAGAAAGGCCTTGTTCTTAGCTACAAAATGATATGTGTTTCATTCCGATAGCTTTGATATTCGCGGAGTTATTACGTTGTAGAATGGAATGTTCTAGAATGTAACGTTCGTAATACAGATCGTTCTAGAACGCAACGCTCGTAATACTCAATAAAACGGGACCAACGTACTTATTGCATTTTAGAACGTCTTTATATAATTCCTGATGTAATTAATAAGTCAATTGATCAATTTATTAAAAGTTATATAAATTGACATAATATTATTAAAAATTAAAATTTTATATTTTTATTAAATGATTACATTAAAAAAAATTAAAATTTTATATTTTTATTAAATGATTACATTAAAAAAAATTAAAAGATTCATCTAAACTTGATTGTTTTGATAATGAAATTTGATTTAGACGAATTTGATGTTGTAAATCTTTTAAATCTACTATAAATGAATGTTCAATATTTAAATTTTGTTGTTGTTGTAAATAATTATATATATTTTCAATACTTTCTAATGCTGTTTAATGTGAAACTGGTGAAATTGCATCATTGATTTCTTCTTCAACTTCAGGTACTTCAAGAATACTTGAAATAATTTCATTATCATTAGGAATTCCTGTTGTTTCTAAACTAGAATCAATATTAATATAATCTTTAGCTATAATATTGTTTGTATATTTATCTATTTGATTAATTAACAATTGTAATGATCTTTCTATACTTTCATTTGTATTATTATCTATTTCATTTTCAAATTCATCTAAATTTTCTTCTGGTAAAATACCCATTCTTGCCTATCTTCAATAAATAATACCATCAGTTATTATCCCATGCTTCTACAGTCCAAGTTATTGCATTAAATATATTTAAAAGAGGAATTTCAGTACCAAAATCATTATATGCATCAATTCTATCTTTAAAAAGTAATTTTTGGTAATGAGCCTGATAAATAAAAATAAATAATTAATTTATTTGAAAATTTAATATAAATACAAATTTTAATAATAAATATATACTTTGAAAGAATGAATAATGGTTGAATATGTGAAGTTGTACTTGGTGGAAAAAATGTAAAGTAATATTACTTAATATTTCATTTTCTTCTAATTTATAAGATGATGCATTATCAATTAAAAGCAAAATTTTTCTTTTTTGAAGTCACATTCTTGATTGAATTGTTTTATCCATCGTTGAAATATTGATTTTTACATCCAAATAGAATTATTTCAATAATACTTAACAGGAAGTGATATTTTATCTATATTTCTAAGACAATGTGGCATTTTATATTTGTGAATAAACACAGGTGACAATTTGTGAGTACCTGTTGCATTACATGTAAGCATTATTGTTACTCTATCTTTTGGTTTTTAGTTCCAGTTATAGGTCCAGTAGCAAGTGATTTATTAGGTTCTAATTTCCAATAGAGTCCTGTTTCATCAGCAATATATATATTATACAATTCATATTGTGAAATCAAAACTTGTAATTCAGATCTAAATGCTAGCAAATCTTCAATAGGGGCATTTGCTGCTTCTCCTGCTTTATCCCTTAAACTGTAAGCAATTCTGGGCAAATTTGCCTGCAAATTTTTCCTTTAATATGCACATTGTCAACAAAGTGATCTATCATTTTATCAAATGCTTGAAGAAATTAGAATGGCAAATGTTAATGAAAATATCATTAACAAGATACAACAAAAAATTAATAATTATAATTTTACTGATAAAGTATTAGAAACTGATTACATTGTAGGATACAGAAATATGGGATCAAATATTAATAATATTGTTGGAAATTATCTTCTATCAGCTAATGAAAATGAAAGTCCTTATGAATCAGTAGCAATTGATTATATGGGTAATGCTCAGATAACACTTACTAAAACAGATAAACTATTTTGTCACTATACAAACTTTCCAACAAAAATAATTCTTAAAGAAGGTATGAGAGTAATGTTTCTTAATAATT